TCGAAGTAATATCATTACATTGTATAAAGTTAAACTCCTATTCCACAGATAAAAGGTCTCCATGCATTTCTTTCAAAGATCGTGAAAAGGAGAGTTGTCATGGCGTCTACCATATACATTCGAGGTCGTTTTTCCGCTAGTCGGAAAGGCCCGAGAAGTTGCGATTGAAGTTTAAACGTTAGTTTTAATGGACTTAACATGACAAACTACTTAAATACAATATTCCGCGAGAGTCCGGTGAACCCCTTTTTCTTTTGCAAATATAAGGCCGACCTTCAAGTGTAATTTTCCCCTAAGTAAGAGAAGGGCCATATTTGTATATTTTTGCAGGCCAATCATTTGACACAATCATTTTAAGAGGAAAATAATGTATTCATATCAATCTGTAAAAAAAAAAATGAAAAAAAAATGGTAATTAACTTTTTCATTTCGGAAAAAGAAAGTACAATATAATACACTGTCAGTTAAGGAAAAAATGCAAGTAATTTGATTGCAGACTTACAAAAAAATTGTTATCAGAAACGCCAATGTGTGATACTGTATTTACTTTCTTGAATATGCCCATAATTATTGTTTTGCTTGTCCAAAAAATATATATCCCAGAAATGTTCTTTTCCAAACAATACAAAATATAACTGATTGTGGTCAGATTAATGAACCTAATTTACTATAAGATGGTAGTCCTAATCATGGACTAGGTATTGATATTCACTTGTTCTTTGAAGCAGTACATCCTTACCTAGATGTAACAAACCAAACATTTTACATTATTATTGTATTTGAATTTCATGTTTGTTACTTCTATACTTAAATTGTAATTTTTGCTACTTTTTTGTTTCTTTTTCGGCTGTGTTTGTTTATTTGTGCAATTTATTAGGATAGTGTGTTTATACCTTTCATTTCCAATGAGTGCTAAAATAGGCTTTGCCTGCTGCACAATCCCATTCACTTTTATTTGTGCACAAGATTTTGCATAATAAAATGAATACCACGATATGGAGTCTTTTTAAATCTCTTGAAGGGTGACTCAGGTGAGCTTTATGGACCCATGATCTTTTGTTCCCTTATGTCAATATATACACATATTTGACAACCTCTAGCTCTAGATTTTTAAATTGATAACTGTTTCCATGACCATAAACTGAGAATAGACTTAAGTCAAAATTTTGATTCTGAATAACTTAAGTTTTATTCAACATACATTCTTAAAATTTGCAGTTATGTAAAGTTTTCAAATTCCAACAAATGATGCAAATTTAATGTCATCATTTTTTTCCGCCCGAAAGTTACATTGATTTGAAAATTTGACTTAAGTCTATTCTCAGTTTATGGTCTTCGGGCCACAAACATGCAAACACATGAAACATACAAAAACGAAACTTGAATATTTTCTTAGTGTATTTTTAGTAGACTAAAAAGGTCATCTTTGAAAAAGGTATCAGTTGACACTTAAATAGTATGGCTGGAAATAATTGGATTTTAGTTGCAGCTATTGACTTTGGAACGACATACAGTGGATATGCGTTTTCATTTAAAGACAAACCAATGGACTTGCAGTCTCCCCAGACATGGTATGCGGGAACTACGCAGTTGGCGTCCTTGAAAACACCGACATGTCTACTGCTTAATGGCGACCAGACATTTAATGCTTTTGGGTATGAGGCACAAAACAAATATGCCACTCTCGCAGGAGATGATAATCATCATGATGTATTTTACTTTGAAAGATTTAAGATGTTACTCCATCACACAAAGGTAAACCTAGTTTTCTTTCGGAAGGATATTGTTAAATCGATATCTATGAAAGCTCATTTAGGACATATCATTTAAAATATTTATGAATTCGATATAACGGATTGTCGAATGTTATAACGAATATAATTTTATAGCAATTTCTTTAAATTCATCAAAAACGAAATTAATATATAAAGAGCAACAAAATTATTAAATAAAGAAAAACCAATGAATATATAAAGAAAAACGAAATTATTAAATAAGAAAAACCAAATTATTAAATAAAGAAAAACCAAATGATATATTTAATAATTTGGTTTTTCTTTATTTGATAATTTCGTTTCTCTTTATTTAATAATTTCGTTTTTCTTTATATATTAACTTCAGTTTCTCTTTATTTAATTTCGTTTTTCTTCATTTAATAACTTCGTTTCTCTTTATATATTAATTTCATTTTTCTTTATTTAATAATTTCGTTTTTCTATACTTAATACTTTCGTTTTTCTTTATTTTATAATTAAGTTTTTCCTTATTAATAATTTCGTTTTTCTTTACTTAATGATTTCGTTTTTCTTTATTTTATAATTTAGTTTTTGTTTTTTTATTTTTTGTTTTCACTATTGGGCTTACGTAAAGGTGCGATATAGAACAAAAAAAATAATGCCAGGCACGTACTAGTACACCTACTCTTTTAATTGTGGCAATATAATCTAGGCTAAAAAAAATACAGCTTTAATCTTTGACTTGCCTCCTCAGGCACGTAGCATCGTTTTTGAAAGTGGGGGGGGGGGCCAACCTGAATTTTTTTTTTTACTTACCTGAAAAAGTTTAGTCAAAAAAAAAAAAAAAAAAAAACAAAAAAAACGGAAAATTAAAAGTTGCCCAAACACGAAAAAACTATACCATAGGGGGTGGGGGTGGGGGGGGGGGTAGTGGCCAACTTTTTCAAAGCGAACTTACTTTAACTTCCAATTTTTGGCCAACTTGATATCACTATACCATGGTATAAAGTGGGGGGCCAACCATCCTTTCTATGAACATTTTCTATAGTAAAGGTAATGTTGGCCCCCCCCCCCCGGTTGCTACGTGCCTGCTCCTAAAACTTTTAATATTTTATTGGGGAGAGTGTTAAGGCCCATTAAAGACATATGAAGTATGAAAGACAACTGTTTAGAAGTTATGAACAAGGAAAATTTTGAAAATTTTTAGTAAAAGTGGGTCAAACTTCAAGATCAAGAGCAGGTCAAATTTGGTGGTACCAAAAGAAGGGTCTTGCAACAGGTAATATATCTGTGAAATGTGAACGCGATAGCTCTAACCACTAAAAAGTTATGAGTAAGGTTAACGTTTTTAGGACAAATAGACAGACGGACGGACAGGGCAAACATTATTTAGCCCTCAGATTTTCGATTACGGCGGTGCAGCGAGATGTGATTGTAAAACACTGATGTCCCCGCAAGGCAGCTATATATAGCGAGCGTTGAAGTTTCTCAAATGCAAGTCTAACTTCAAGGTCAAGAGCATAAAAATGTTGTTACATGTATCCAGACATAGGACTTATTTCAATGAATATATTTTTGTAATTTTAAAGCTCTAGAACTAACCTTTTTTGAGTTGTGACCATGTTCAAAGTTTTTTAAAAGTAGGCCAGACTAAATTCATGGTATCCAGGGAAAGAAATTGTTATTAGAAATACGAGTAAAATATGAAAACCCCAGCACCAACTATTCAAAAGGCCAAAGTCTTGTCACGGGGAATATATGTCAACTGTGAATTATAAAAGCCCTAGTGCTATAACTGTTCAAAATTTATGGACAAAGTTTAAGTTATTTAAAATTGTTCAAACTTTAAGGTCATGGTCAAAAAGTCAATGTTGAATTAATATTTACATCTATTGAAACATCTTTTCACAATAAATAGATTAAATACACATTTGATGTATGAAAGCCTTAATTAGCATCAACTGTATTTAAGATGGCAAAAGTTAAAAGTTCTTGTTTTTTTTTTTTTTTTGGAAAATGGGTCAAATTCCAAGGTAAAGGTCAAATTTGTTGGTAGGCGAAGAAAGTTACTCAAAAGTTATTGGCAAGGTTAAAGTTTTTGCGGACAAACAAAATGACAGACAGACAGACGGACGGACAAGGCAAAATCATATACTGTATACAGGGTTATTTTTGCCCCGTGTTATTTTCGCCCTTTCACGCTTACAAACAATTTTGTCCCGTTTTAAATTCGCCCATAACGTGAGTTTTGTTTAAGAAATTATACTGAATATTTTGAATTCGCCCCGTTTTAAATTCGCCCTAATGAGGGTAAAATGATAATAGTGTACTCACAAGCAAATTCAAAAAATTTTCCTGTATACAGTACCCCTGAATCTTTGATAACGAAGGCATTAACATATGAGGCCTATAAACAGGGTAATAAAAACCTTTAAAAAGTTATAAATAACAATAAAAACCTTTAAAATATGCCAAAACATCCAGTAAAATGTACACATTTTTTTTCATCCCTGGGGAAAATGATAATAGTGTACTCACAAGCAAATTCAAAAAATTGTGGTCCCCCGCTTTCGGTGTCTTTCTGGGTGAGATGGCATTTTTTTTTTATAACATATTGTGTCTAATATGAAAACCCTATCATATGTCATTTATTTAGAAATTATCATTGAAGTTGATTTTTTTGAAGGATGAAAACCCTAACCTTGACCGTTAAAAACTTATGGCCAAAGAGAAAGTTTTTTAAAGTACGTCAACTCCAAGGTCAAGATCAAAGGGTCAAAGTTGTTGATATCCAATGAAAGGTCTTCTCACAAGGATTACGTATGTGATGTATGAAAGTCCTAGCCCTTACCGTTCAAAAGTTATGGTCAAGGTTAAAGTTTATTCATAAGTAAGTAAATCTTTACGGTCAAGGTCAAAGTTGTTGATATCCAATTAAAGCTCCTGCCACAAAAATATATATATGAAATATGAAAGTCCTAGTATCTATCGTTCAAAAGTTGTGACCAAAGTTAAATTTTTTTAAAAGTAGTTAAAACTCCAATGTCAAGGTCAAAGGGTGAAAGTTGTTGGTATCCAATGAAAGGTCTTCTCACAAGAATTACATATGTGAAGTACGAAAGCCCTAGCTCTCACCGTTAAAAAGTTATGGTCAAGGTTAAAGTTTATTCATAAGTTCGTAAATCTCAAAGGTCAAGGTCAAAAGGTAAAGAATGTTGGTATCCAATGAAAGGTCTTGACTCAGAGAATACATATGTGAAAAATAAACGTCCTAGTATTTACTGTTTAAAAGTTGTTACCAAGGTTAAAGTTTAAAAAGTAGTTAAAACTCCAAGGTCAATGTCAAAGGGTAAAAGTTGTTGGTATCCAATGGAAGGTCTTTTCACAAAAATTACATATGTGAAGTACGAAAGCCTTAGTCCTCACCGTTCAAAAGTTATGGTCATGGTTAAAGTTTTTTCATAAGTACGTGAAACTCCATGTCAAGGTCAAAAGGTCAAGGTTGTTGGTATCCAAGAAAAGTTCTAGCCACAAAGAATACATATGTGAAATATGAAGGTCCTAGTACCTACCATTCAAACGTTATGGCCGAAGTAAAAGTTTGAAATTTTTATGTAAAAGTGGGTCAAACTCCAAGGGTCAAGGTCAAAAGGTCAAATTTGGTAGTACCCAAAGAAACTTTCGACAAGGTTTGCTTGTCACAAGGAATACACATGTGTAATATGAAAGTCATAGCTCCACTAAATCAAAAGTTATGGGCAAGGTTAAAGTTTTTGTTACGGACAGACATATATGACAGACTTACAGACTGACGGACAGACAAATGAGATTTAATGTCCCCTCGCTTTCGCGAAAGCGGGGGACAAAAATGTAATACGTAATAAAAGTACATCAGGTATCAAAATACATGCGTGTATGAAAATGCTAACATGTAAAGAGATTTACCGTCAAAGATGAAAAACTATTTTTTTTTTCAAATTAAAAACAAGATGTGTTTGTGAAACACTGATGCCCCCGTATGGCAACATAGTGAAGATTAAACTTTTCTTAGATGCAAAGTTAATATTTTGGTACCCAAAGTAGGGTCTACTAACTGGAAATACAATTGTAAAACATGAAAGCCCTATCACCATCTGTTCCCAAGTTATGGCCAGGCTAAAGTTTTTTCATAAGTACATAAATCTTCAAGATCAAAGTCATAAGGTCAAGGTTATTGGTATCCAATGAAAAGGTATTTCCACAAAGATCACATATTTTAAGTATGGAAGCCCTAGCCCTAACTATTCAAAATTTATGGCAAAGGTTAAAAAAAATTATAGTATGTAAAACTCCAAGATCAAGGTCAGACGGTCAAGGTTATTGGTATTGAATGAAAGGTCTTGTAACAAGAATTACATAAGTGAAGTATGAAAGCCCTAGCCCTTACTCTTCAAACGTTAATGTTTTTTTTAAGTCCGGAAATCTCCAAGGTCAAGGTCAAAAGGTCAAGGTTATTGGTATCCGATGAATGCTCTTTCAAAAAAAATATATATGTGAAGTATAAATGTTCTGGTATCTGTTGTTCAAAAGTTATGGCCAAAGTAACACTTTGAATTTTTTGTGTAAAAGTGGGTCAAATTCCAAGGTCAAGGTCAAAAGGTCAAATTTGGTGGTATCCAAAGAAAGGTCTTTTCACAAGGAATACACATGTGAAATATTAAAGTCACAGATCCCCTAAATCAAAAGTTATGGACAATGTTAAAGTTTTTGCGGACAAACAGACAGACAGAGAGACAGACAGAGAGAGAGACAGAGAGAGAGAGAGAGAGAGAGAGAGACAGACAGACAGACAGACGGACACGACAAAAACTATATGCCCCCGAAACTCCGTTTACGGGGGCATAATACGGGGGCATAAAAAGAAGAAAAGGTAGAAAGAAGGTCCATTTCTTTCAAAAACTTTATGTGGAATTTTGTGCAATTTCTTCCTGCTATAAATTCATATTAACTGTCCTTAGAAAGTAAAAGCTAATGTACATTGTATTTTATTTAAATAATTGATCAGTCAACGGTGGCAAAAATTCGGTTTCCCGCACTTGCGTGCTCGCTAGCCAAGGAATTCTGATACACTATTCCCCTAACGAAAATGGATTTCTTAAAGTACTATACAGAAAAAAAAATGAATATTATATAAGGTTGACCTGAAATTAATATCTAATATTTAAGAAAAACTATGAATAAGAAAAATTTGATGAGGACAGGGTGTTATGAAAGAATTTAATGTCTCTCTCTCTCTCTCTCTCTCTCTCTCTCTCTCTCTCTCTCTCTCATGTGATCTTTAATAAAAAAAAAAAAAAAAAAAAAAAACAACAATAAATGATGATGAAAAAAAAAGATGAGAGACAGAACGACCGAGGCCTTTAGGTGGTTATAAGTTTTGTAAATTCTACACATTCTATACACAGAACTGGGGCGTATTATCAAGCCATGCGCGGATCTAGGGGGGGGGGGATTGAGTGTCAGGACCCCCTGTAATTTGTAAATGTTATCAAACGTAAATATACCAACCCAACTAAAAGTACCTCCCCCCCCCTTAGAAAACGCCGATCCCCTTCAAAAACAGATTTGTGTTAAGTTGATATGAAAAGACAGATATAAAGATTTATAAACCAACGATCCCCCACCTCACACAAGAAATAGGTTTTCAACATTTGTGGAAGTTGAACTTTTTTTTGCTTGTCAAGAAGTTTATGGGATTGGATATTTTTGTAACTTGGGTGGATAC